CACTGTGTATTCCTATCATACTTATGTCCTGTGCTGGTCCCAATGCATCCTTTCCAGCTTTTCTGAGATTTCTGAACCTCCTAATTCAAAATCCAAGAAGAAATTTTGTGCCACAAAATGTGATCTCTGAGTGTGCATCTCCCATATGTTCATGGTTAGAAAGTACACATTGGCCTTGCTTTTTAAGTATAAAAATAAAAAAGGACCCTAACTTATACAACAAATGGTGGAATATTTATCAGTTATTATTAATTTTTTTAAAGTCTGAGTTTTCAACAACGCAGCCTTATATTCCATAACAGTTCCTGGAAAGCAGAGAGGTCCCCTGTCTGGCATTGGATTAAGTGTACTGGTGGGAGCATCCCGTTGCCTGGACGGTGCAGGGCAATCATCTCCTACTGAACATCTATTTGTGTTGCACAAACACTGCTCTTAAGCATAATGGCCTCAATCCTATTTATTTGGCCCACCATCAGTTTAACTTGGGATTTATTCCACTTCTTTCTTATTTTTGTGTGTAGCTACTTGAGATTATTTAAAGAAAGAGAAAAAATTTTCCATGTTTACAGATCAGCTTCACAACTACTTTTCAAAACACAAATAGCCTCCACTGTGGATGTGGAGGTAATTTAAAACGGATTGTGCATCAGGATTTCCTTTCTAAGCATCAGTTGCCATGATTTGGAAAAGTGAGAACTGTCTCGGATTTGATTGTAAGAGATGATCTTTTTTTTCTATAAAAATGCAAAGAACTCAGTTGGATTATTTCCCATTCAGTACATCTCTTCTTACATCATAAATGTGTGTTGTCATGTAGCTTTATTCTTAGGTTGTCCACACTACCAATAGCTAGAAATTCACATTGTCTCTATCACAGCATTCTCATCTCTACCGGACCCCTGAGACATGTTTTTCTAGGTGCATAGCCTATGTTTTAGACAACATGAGTGACCTGATGTGCCTTTGTAGCTGCTAGTCCACAGAAGGTTCTATAGTTCAGGTTGTTCCAACACTTTTCAAGGGATCCAAGCAAATGTGAGTGGGATCTCTGACATATAACAGTAATTCGGTAGAGGACTGATTCCATCTCAGAAAGAAATAGCTTCATCAGCAGTAGAAAATTATGATAGTATTATGGTATCAGCAGAAACTACAGCCTAGCTACTCTAGTAGTGTTTAAGGTTTATAACAAAAAGAACTTCCAGAGCACAGCAAAGTATAGAAGAGTTATAGCATAGTGGGTGTTGACTATAGAGCAACTATAATTTTATGCAGGCTGACTAATGACACCCTTTTTGTCTCTAAAAATACATTTTGGATCCTGATGTTGACAGGCATGGATGAAAAACTCCAAATAAAAAAGAAATCTGTATTTCTTTAGAAGGAATCAAAGATAAAAGTATTGCAGCGTAGTCTTTGAAGCTCACTGTGAAACATCTGTGCTCCACGTGGATTTAAAAGTAGCACACGGTTAGCAGAAATGCTTCCTCATACAGTTGAGTGTGATCCTGAATCAGCACAGATCTCGCTGTTGGGCATCTAATGGCATGCTTTGCTGTCTGACCGTGGGTATTTGAGCCCATGGTGAACAGGGATGCTCCATACTGAAACTTCTCAGTAGTTTGAAGGGAAACTCTAGTCTTGCCCATGGTCTCTCATTCTGCTTCCCTCAGTGTCCCTAACGCAGTGTAACACTGAACAGCTATCACCTCTGCGGTTAGGTTGAACATCTCCTTTCTGTGTGACGCCTGGTCTGCTTTTTTTTTACACTCAAAATAACAGTAGCTAGGAGCTGTTGGTTAGTTAGCATTGCTTTTTTTAACTGATAAAAATTTTCATACAGCAATCATAATAAAGAAAATCCATTGGATATAATCTGTAAAAAGCAAGCAGTATGTGCACACTCAGTAAAGTCAAACCACAGTAAGAGGCAGCACAGACAACATGTGGCCTTGTTTACATACACAAAATTATCATTATGAAATCCAGTTATAAAGGTGGAGATCATAATTATCACATTAGACAGCAATATCCAGAGTATATGAACTCAAGACTTCAGCATTTCCTTCCCAGGCTGAATGATGCTGAACTGTTAGATTTATCTCGTTCCCTTGGTTTCCGATAACGTGATTATGGTGAAAGGTCAATAGGGAGCATAAAGCCCTGAACGACACACATTTCAGCAGAGCTTTCAGTAGCCTGTACTGCAGGGTACAAGCTCCAGAGAAGCTTTATTACTTACAGAGACTGTGGACAAAGAAATTCCCTAAGCGATATCTTCTGCTTTTGTGCAGTCACACAAGAGCAGGATTCAGTTGTGAAAGGGAAAATATCAAGGGGATTTCTGTTGTAAATTTATGCGTGAGAGAAAAGCATGATTTCAAGCTCTTCCATGCACCGCTAATCTAACAAGGGATATCCAACCTAGGGCTTCACGACATGAGAGAATTAAACTGATACATCTTTAATATCTGCATTTGTATTTCTCTTTGGGTGTCCCTGCTGCACATGATCAAATACCTTCTCTTCCTAATAATTAAAAGGAAACAGTTAAAATATTCAAAACGTGTCACCTGTTGAAAAGTGTGTCCAGGCAGTTCTTCCCTTTATGGCTAAGCGCTTAGGTAACTCACAAAGAAGCCAGAAGTGTCTGGTACAGACAGATCATACTCTGCAGTAATTGCCCATTAGTGCCTGAATCCAAGCCTGCAAACCTTTTCAGGGAAGCCGTTACATACGTGGTCCTGCTGATACCAGTAAAACAACTCTCAGCAGTGTTCCCTGATGGGAATCGTGCCGTGCCGCAGAGCCGAGGCGGAGGTGCTGGTACCGGGCATCCTGCGCAGCACAAGTGCTGATCCTCAGCCAGGGAAACGCTTACGTACTCCTACTAGTTACTCTTGCAACAATATTTAATTAACCTAACCTTGGGATTACATTTCTGTCTTTTCCAGGGATGCGATTAAACTCTTATAAAATAACCATTTAAACTGTTAAATAGAGGTTTAAAAAGCCCTAATCCCCTCAAAGAAATTTTTCAGCCCAGTTAATGACTGCTAGCTGAAATGTTGCATTTCTAATGAGTTTACCTAAAGAAACTCAGAGAAGGCGCCCAATGCATTAGAACAGAAATACAGTACTGCAGCTGCATTTGGTTCTACAGTTTAAACAAATATATTTATCACCTTTAAATAAAACGTTTTACTTGTTTAACAAGTAGTTTTGCTAAAAAATTTTATTGATTAAATGTATGTAGAACTAGCATTCTTGTTAAGCACCAAGTAAACAAAAACATTAGCCCTTCTGCACTTTTTTTTGGCCAAAATATATCTCATCGCATATGATAGAATTTTAATAATGTAAGAACTTTCCACAGCTGCTATGACTTTGTGAAACATCAGATGCTGACTAACTTCCTAAAAGAAACTTGCAGTTTAAAGAAGAGTTGAATCTACTGTGACATTTGGAATGGCTTGACAATGATGTCATGCTATGAGAACAAATAGAGCAGTAATAAGGAAAAAAAAGAGAGTGTATGGGGGAATAATGCATTTTTTTTGGAATAGGCTGTGTTTCAAGTCAAGGCTTGTCATGCCTTGCAGTATTCATAGGATACCAGATTTTCCAAATTTGTAATTATACTAATTATTCTCTTCTCTTTCTCTAGGTTGCTGATTTCTAGTCTTCTTGATAAAAAGAAAAATGAGATATGCTGTAATATTCAGTATTTTAATAGTGAAACTCTAAGCAAATGCAACATTTTCATTTGGATTTTGAATAAAAGAAAAATAAAGATTAGGCTTTCAGCTCATACGAAGAGCAGCAGACCCCACATGGATTTTGCTGGCTTATGACAGCTGAGAACCTGGCCTTTGGGCTCATAAGTAAGCCAGATGTAGGTGCCACTTGGCTGGTTTCTCTATCAGTCATAACTTTGAAATTTGTGAATGCAAAAACTGTGCTGTAAAACTGCACAGCTAGCCGTGTAATTCAGGGAGGTCTGGTGCTGGTGTGGGAAACTGGGCAGACTTGGGAGGGCCAGGCGCATGATTAGAGTCCCTGACCAGTGCTGTTTCTGATCATAGATTAATTCTTTTTTCACTCTGTCCATTTACAGGCAGATCCTGGCTCTAGGATTAGTTTTGGACAGGAAAAAAAGAGCGAGTAAAGACAGAGTGTCCTTCTCCATAAGACAAACTATATGACAATAACTATTGTGGCCACAAAAATGACATTTTCATGTTACTGATCAGTCAGGATCATGTAACAAGGAACCACATTCAAGTTTTAAAACTTGGAAAAAAATTGTGAAATACTAAGTCCTTATTTTTTTCATGACTGTGCTTTGAATGTCGGCAGGTGCCCCACGCAGGAGCCTAATTTACAGATGATCTTTTGAGCTATGAATAGCATATCCTCACTGCAGGAATTATTTTGATGATAAGCGCCATCATTTGTGGTAAAACATTTTGAAATAAGACTACCAACCAAAATACTTTAAAGCTGCTTGGGTAACCAGAATGTACCAAAAAGCCAGCCAAGATGAAGTAGATAAGCTTTGAGCAAAGCTGGGATAAGACAGAATTCCTCAACATTTTTTTTCTTGTTTGTTGGCATTGGACTGTTTTCTGTGACTCTGTTGCTTTCGTCTGCCTGTAGCCAAAAGGACAGGCAGATACTGCTGTTTCTAAGCAAATGAAATAAACCAGATTTATCTCTATGGAAAAGGATGAGATTCCAATGTTTTTTGTTATCTGTGTCTCAAAGCTTCTCTTTGCTGCTGCAGCCGTGAGGTTCCCCAGCGTTCTGTGCCCCTCCTTGCTGCTCCTTGGCTCCTGCTGCACAGGCAGCCCCAGCGCTTCCCACACCCCGGCCGGCCGCTGAGCCAGGACATCTTGCTGCTTTGTTTTCATGAATAAAGTGTAAATGTGACTCTTGGCATGCGGGCTGTTTAGGGCTGTATCAGCTAAGCGGAGATACTCATAATGCTTTGTTGTTAGCAGTGAGTGAAGCCACGAGCTCAGTGCTCCTGGATGGTTGAAATCTCGACAAGGAGCATCAGCTGAGCAGCGCAGCAGAAGCCATGTCTCTGCCCTTCCGAAAAGAGTTGGAGAAATACAAGAATATCAACGAAGATGAAATACTCAGCAAACTCTCAGAGGATGAACTGAAACAGCTAGAGCATGTTCTTGATGACCTTGATCCTGAGGTTAGTGATGGGGGGCCAGGGGGATCATAGTTCAAAACCTGGCTATTACAAGCGCCACATACTGGAGCAGTTTGTGTTTGTATTCTGGTACAGTAGAGGCAGTGTACTCTGAAGAATGAGCAGCTCAGCTAGGGGTGTTTTGGTTTTTGGTGTGCTTCTTGCTTTTGTACAAGTCACTGTGTCCTTTCTCTATCCCTTGTTTATTTAGACGTGAGCTTGTCTGCCATCTAAATCTTTAATCATGTTTGTACACTGCAGCACGATGAGGTTTTTATCGCTGCTATTTCTGAGCACAGCAATAAACAAACAAAATGTGTGTTTGTGAAGATCAGATGTTTTGAACTTCTGAAATCTGTCGACTGTGTTATTCAGCAAAGATATTTTTAACTGAAGGGAATATATTTAGGCCTTAAGAAAAATAAGATTCAGCTACACAACCGTCATTTTCTAGAGAGCAAGGCTAATTTGAAGACATTTACAAAGAATGTAAAGATTTTTGTCTGGGAACCACTTGGTCCTACAGTAACAAAGTTACAGTCACAGGCATGCTGGATGGGAATTCTGACTGCACCCACCTCAAAACCTGCCAGACTGAGGGAGGAGTTTCAAAACTGACAGGTAAACTGGCAGATAAAATCCGTTCTACTCTGTAGACAAAATAAATTTGAAGAACTCCGTATGAAGAAATACATTATAGTTTATAGCACAAATTTATGTAGAAATTTGCTTTGCTGTTTTCTCCCTCCATGTTGCCACTTCCGTCACTACTACTATTTCTACAGCACATTTTCTAGTATTTTCAAACAGAGACAGAGAACGTTAAAAAAAGACCCCAAAACAAATAAAACAAGCCATGGTACATTGTAGTCAGGAGACATAAGTGCAGTAAATTTTTAGCACACTGGGCACATTTGTGCACATACGGAGAAAATGTCCAGTGGCTGGAGTTCGCTGGATGTGCTCAGAACGCACAGGATATTTGCCATGCTATGTGCACGGCTTTACTGTGCGTGTCCTGACCAACTGGAGTGCTCTGTGCTGCAGAGTCCATGTACCTGCATTCCTTTCTGGGATTTTCTGGACTGAAATGTGAGAGCCTTATGTGTCTTCCTGTGTTATGGGATGCAGATGCAATCACACAGTCACACAGCTACATGTTTAAAGTGAGGCTTCATCTGCTTGCTTCCTGCATGCTCTAAATAGCTGAAGTCCACATCATTCGCCAGTTACTTTCTGTGTGTGCCATTCGTTTCTGAAGTCTAAGAGACATCTGCATTAGAATGAAAGGAATTTCTGAAAAAATGAAAAGAGAGGCAGAAAAATGGGGAGGAAAAAGAGGCAATGAAGAGAAGAAAACATACAGAAAGCTTATCCTGGTCTATTTACCTGGACTGCAGTCTCCATAGTTATAATATGCATAATACAAAGGGCTTTGATCCTGCTTACTTCTTTGATGCTGTGATTGTAAATACAGTTAATAACAATATTAATAGTGTATAGTTACATTTAGGTAGTGTGTGTTACTGCTCTCACCAAAGAACATTACATGAAGTAAAGCGCAAACAGTGATTTCACCTAAAATCCAGCAACACTGAAATGAAATTTGGAATACTATAGGAAGTTGCCTCATCTCCTTTCCATGCCTCCCTCTCTTTCACAGAACGCCTTGCTTCCAGCAGGATTTCGGCAAAAAGACCAGACCACTAAACCTGCCACGGGACCTTTCGACAGAGAGCGCCTGCTCTCGTACTTGGAGAAGCAAGCGCTCGAGCACAAAGACAGAGAAGACTTTGTGCCATTTACAGGGGAAAAGAAAGGTACCGCCTGTCTCTGTGTGAGTGCTGAGCACTGGGCTGCCTGGGCACAGGCATCCACGGCTGCCCAGCCTTCTGGTGGAATGCGCTGGGACAGAAGAGGTGGAGGCTGTCCCTGTGCAGGGTGAAGCTCGGGAGCCCAGGATATGAAGAAGTTGGTTCTGTCCCCTGTGTAGTGATCTGCCCGGCTGGTTTGGAGTTACAGGGGCGGGTTTAATGGGGCCCATTGGTGGCTGTGGGAACACAGGAACACCAGTCAAAGGGCTCAGTCGGCAGCTCCCAGAGCAGCGACTGCCTCTATTTGCAGTCAGGGATGGCCAGAGGTGCCTCCCTGGGAGCATCCCCGTGCTAAACATTAGGCCCATGCAAGGGTGCTGTGGTGGGGGAGGTAGTTAGGAGGAAACATATAAATGCCTTTCTAAGTATGTATTGCCTACAATTCCTGTAAGTAATAGTTCAGGGAATACACTTACAGATAATAAGTATTTTTCCGCTTGTTTACTAGCACATCTGGCAATGCTATTCATGCAGACAGTTTCTCTGCTTCCCCTTGTCCTGCAGCTACAGGAATAAAGGGGAAAACAGGAAAACCTAATTCTAGTAATTCAAACATTGGCAGGATAGCCTTGGGGCAGGAACAGTCATATTTCTGAGCAAACAGTGTTCCTTTAGCACCATTATCTCCTTTTCCTCATGATATATGGGGAATGTAAATGCCTACCTCAGGCCACCCCTTCATTCAAGAAGGAATTATATCTGGGTCCACTTCTGACCATCTAATGTATTTGCCATTATTTCAATGGGAACTGCTTAAGGGAAAGCAGATATTTCAAGAATGTCAAAGGCAACTTTTTTTACTTTATGTATCATTACCAAAGATATGCACTGTTATTTTCAGGCCAAGAGTTATTACTATCATTGCATTGTGTTCTCAGTCTTTGAAACGATGCTTTTATACAAATGAGACATTTTTCATCTGGATGTAATTGCAGTGTTATTTTATAATACTGCATATTCTTTTACCTACTTTTATCTCCATTGTAACTTGTCCTTACTGCTATTCACAGGGTTGATTCTGAGCCCAGTGAAATGCAGTGACACTGCAGCGATCCTGCCCATAGCAGGAGTGATCAAGCACATACTGTACAAAGAGGAAAATGGTTTATTGGAGTGTGAATTTATTACCGATTGTTTCCAGTCTCCTACACAGTGCTCTGTTAGATTGTACCAGGAACTGCTTGCAAGTGTCCACATATTTATACCAACACCTTCAGTCAGGTTTCACCTGACTGAGATTTACTGACTTAGGGCTAAAACTTTGCGTTTTGCACTGCAGTCATGTCTGAGATCTCCAAACATGCCTGAAACATAAGTACACAAAAAAGCAGCAGCACATTCACTCCCATATACCCATCGGACTGGCACTTGAACTGTGCAAAGCCAATCCCCGTATTGACCCTGATGGTGTTACTGTATGTACTGACCTGTTTATTCTATTCAGCTTTCCTTTCACAGAGTCACAGAATGTGAGGCGTTGGAAGGGACCTCAAAAGATCATCTAGTCCAGCCCCCCTGCCAGAGCAGGATCACCTACAGTCGGTCACACAGGAACGCATCCAGGCGGGTTTTGAATGTCTCCAGAGAAGGAGACTCCGCAACCTCCCTGGGCAGCCTGTGCCAGGACTCTGTCACCCTCACAGGGAAAAAGTTTTTTCTAATATTTTTGTGGAACCTCCAATGTTCCAGCTTGTACCCACTGCCCCTTGTCTTGTCATTGGACATCACTGAAAAGAGCCTGGCTCTGTCCTCCTAACACTCCCCCTTGATGTATTTATAAACATTAATTAGGTCACCCCTCCGTCTCCTCTTCTCCAAACTAAAGAGACCCAGCTCCTTCAGCCTCTCCTAATAAGGGAGATGTTCCACTCCCTCCATCATCTTTGTGCCTCTGTGCCACTGCTCTCAAGCAGTTCCCTGTCCCTCTTGAGCTGAGGGGCCCAGAACTGGACACAAGATTCCAGATGTGGCCTCACCAGGGCAGAGTAGAGAGGCAGGAGGACCTCTCTCAACCTACTAGCCACCTCCCTTCTAACACACCCCAGGATGCCATTGGCCTTCTTGGCCACGAGGGCACGTTGCTGGCTCATGGTCATCCTGCTGTCCACCAGAACCCCCAGGACCCTTTCTCCTACACTGCTCTCCAGCAGGTCGGTCCCTGACCTGTACTGGCACAGGGGGTTATTCTTTCCCAAGTGCAAAACTCTACACTTGCCCTTGTTGAACTTCATAAGATTTCTCCCCACCCAGCCCTCCAGCGTGTCCAGGTCTCTCTGAATGGCAGCAGCCTGCTGGTGTGCCAGCCACTCCTCCCAGTTTTTAGTCGTCAGCAAACTTGCTGACAGTGCTCTCTCTTTTGATGAAGCTAAAGCAGTATTTTTCCTGCATTTGCTTCCAGGTGTCCTTAAAATGCTTAATAGTGCTGCTTATTAATTTCTGCTGCCTCTGGTGTGGACATACCACTGCTTTCCAAACAAAAATAACCACACATTTCACTTTTCCCCTAGCACAGAGTGAATTCAGCCATAGCATTTGAAGCTATTCTTATTTTGGCTTTTGATTCTCTGTAAGCATTTACTTCAAAATTACAATTTTAAGAATTATCACAATTATGAGATTATTACAACATTTTAGGCTAAAGGAATTATTCCCTTAATTTCTCCTGTTCCTTGTACAACACCACTTCCTGACAAAATCCTCAGTATCAGCTTTAGCAGATTAAGTCAAATGAAAACAACCATGTGTTCTGTGATTTCTGCAGTCATTTTACAATTAGAATCTAAACACAAAGAATTCTACTAAATTTTCTTGGAAGTCAAAGGCCAAATACCATGAAAATACTCTTTGTTTCTTTGTTAATATTAGAAATAACTGAGTTAATCTGAGATCTGATGAGTTCCAGTACCTTGACGATTGAGAACTGGATGGACTGCACAGTGTTGGTTTTGTGCTGCTTTACGGGAACTGGCTTTGAGAAAGAAACTGTTTAAGTTGAGCTCGGCCATATCCCATACTGGTATTTGAGTATCTCTTCTGCTGTCCTACAGAAAGCCCCAGACTTCAAGAAGTGGGCTTCGCTTCTTGTTCTCCTCCCTCTGCCCTGCAAAGACTTGCTGAGCCGTACAAATGTTTTGAAATCTCCACCTGCCAAATGTACCGAAACCTTCCCATAAATTGTACAATAATCCTGCTAATTGGGTGAATCTAATGAAACATGTTGAATGTTGCAAAAAGGCCATGCATGGCTGGCTCTGGAGCTTAGAATCCATGCTCATAACTGCAGCATTACTTATGCTGACACTCAATTGAAAAAACAGTAGCAGAATGACTGTATTAAAATATTAATTACTTGATTTGCATTTATAAGAAGAGATTTTCCAGGCAAGGAAATAAAGCAATCCTGCAATGACCTTTCTAAGATATGATTTTACATACTAGATTTAAAATCACTTTAATTGGAGAATTATTAGTATTTTTTCAAAGCTCAGTAATTAGTTCAGGATAAATAATCTGGATTTCTAAAATGTGTCCTCAAAAGAAGGATATCTCCTAGAGGAAAAGCTTATTCCTCACCTTCTGCTTGTTCGTGGTCTCTAAGGCGTATTTACAGATTGGTAAATATTTACATGATTCTATTATATAGATGCCTGTTAAATGATGTCCTTACATTTTAACAGCACTGTAATATAACCATAGCCCCAAATTAATTTTTACACTAATTGTGCTAGTTAAAAATTAAGTTCTGGGATATCTCTAAAAGGCATCCAGCTGGGATAATTAGAAATAAGAGGTGGTGATGCTGGTGTACCATTTGGCACTATTTACCACCTGAGAATATTTGTGTGGCAGTAGGATTAGACCATGTCAAGTGCAGTTTAAGCTTCTGTCAGTGTTTTGTACTTTGATATTTGTCTGCCACTATGAGAGCATTTATTTTTTCAAATTTAGGAAGTGGGATGCTTCAACCAAATGTTAAATGATACTTCTCTCAGTTCCTACAATTATCATGCATATCTGATACTGACTTGAAAACTCAGTAATGAACCAAAAAGAAGGTGGCATTAAAAATATCCTCCCTTCAAAATAGTTGCTGATACATCACTATTTTTTATCTACCGTCTCTGCCTCTTTTTTTTTTTTTTTTGTATTAGAGATTCTTGACCAGAAAGCAGTACCAAGCAGCTGCGGAAGGACAAAATTCAGTTCCCTCCATTGGTCTGTACATGCCAAACAGAACCATAAGGTTTTGATTGTCCTAGAAAACAAGCCAAAACAAATTTCAGAGCTGACAGGGATATTCTGAGTGGTTGAAACACAGGAAGTGTTAAATATGAGCTCAAGGTGGGGGGCTGATCGTGCAGGGAATTGCCTTGGTTTTGACTGTAATTGTGGTTTCAAGAGGTCGGACGTGTTTGGCAAAAACAATCCAATGTATGGAATGCATTAGGCTTTTGGCCCTCTGCCATATTTCAGCTTGTTAACTTAATACATTAATTGCTGTACCAAAAGAAGTTTTTAAGCCTGTATGGGCTGGTTCTCAAATTTCAAAGAAAACTCAAGTTTTGCACTGAGCCAAGGCCAGGATGGTCCCAGCCTGCCAGGCACACGCCCAAACTGGCCACCAAGCAATTTTTTGGGGCTGCTTTACCCTGCACCCTCCGCAACACACGTCGGGGCAGGTACTTCATTTGAACATCCCCATGGCAGGTCTTTGCCCCCATTGCGGTGTGCGAGCGATGTGGTGGCTTTCAGGAACTGTTGTGCAACACAGCTGTTAGTCAGCCCTTCCCAAACCAACAGAGGGTTCCTTAGTAATGAGCAATGGAGGTACAGGGAGTTAGGGCTGATAATTGTAACCATAGCAATTGGCAGTTTGTGTTTGGTTTATGTGCTTTTGGATTAGTTCCTACTTAGGATAGATATTCTAGAAATCCTCACATAGAATG